TTTTTTTTGTGTGTGTAATAAAAATCCTGAGCAACGGACTCTACAAGAATGGGGCCACCCGTCCCATTGACTCAACCAGGACCTCTGCTCCCCTGGGACAGCACCCAGAGCTGGGGACCCAGGAGAGCCTCACACATCCCTCGTGGCCTCTTGCCACTCCTGTATCTGCTTGGCCATCCCAGAGGATTCATGAACTGGTCCCGACCTTCTCCTGGCACTTCCAAACCTCCTGGCAAAGGACTCCAGCCCTCCGGCGGCCTCCGTCCCGTCTCAGGCAGCACATCCCCTGCAGCTGCCCCACACACACTCCTCAAAGCAGCCTGAGCCCAGGCCCAGACTCACGGACAGGAGCAGGAAAACATTTTGTGGAATTTATATGTATTTATAGTGGACTTCGCTTCAGCCTGGAGCCCCCCGCCGCTTCCTGCCTCTCCAGGGACTTGTGCCGGGGGCTGCTCCGGGTAGGTTTTTACCTGCCTCCTCATACGACGGTGCCTTAAACCATTTAGGGGAGCGGGGGCCGTGGGGGTCGCACAGGAACCTGTGCGGGAGAGGGAGGGGAGGACGGTGGCTTTCCGGGACCATCTGCAATCGGGGCTTTTTTTCTCCCTGTGATCAGGAGCCCCCCTGGGTACCCGGGGACCCGCCCTGCTGCTCTGTCCTCCAGCTAGCAAATGCCAGTGGCCTTTTTAGCCTTTAATTTATTCTCCTCCCCGTCCTGCCTTGCCTGAGGTGCAGCGGGAGGAGACACGGGCACCATCCCAGCCCTCGAGGCAGCTCCATCCAACCCACACCCGGCCGGCTTCGCCCTCGCTGCCCTGCGGGCACGGGCTGAGCGCTTCCACCAGCATCCTGCCCAGCCTGGGGCATCCCAGCGGGGTTCAGGGGGGGCAGGATGGGAAAGGGGGGCTGCCCGTGGCAGTAGCTGGGCTGGGGCAGCGATGCTGCTTGGCAGGTGGCTTGTTTACTGTGTAAGCAAGGTGGGTGGGAAGTGTCTCATACAAGGGAGACTCGTGCAGGAATAAATTTGAGCTTGAACAGGGCGTTGGGTGCGTGTGTTTTGTCTCTGGGAAGACACCGGTGGTGACCCAGGAGTGCCCACGGACCGGGAACAGTCGGGGCTCGCCTGGAGCGAGGGAGATGCGGGTGCAGGTGGCAGTGCTTGGAGGGAGAAGGAGCCTTTCCAGCCCCACGGAGTTCCCCGGTGCCCACGCTCTTCCCTCAAAACCCCTGAACAATGGCCCCTTTCTCCCCTGCTTAGGGACGGAGACGGGCATTAAGGGGCAGCGGGAATGCAGGTGGCAGGGCCCAGGCACCCAGCGAGGGCAGGAGGGACACGCTTTGCCCAAGGTCCCCAACACAGCCCCGTCAGCGCTGCCCTGAGCAGTGAGAAGCCTGGAGGCAGCTCCAAAACCCAGGTCCCGTGTGGGGACCCCACCAGAAGGGTCCCTTGGGGACGGGCTCCCAGCGGGATGGGCGCGAGAACTCATTCCCCTTTAAGACGCCGGTTCCCTGTGCCAGAGCCTGACCTCGGCATCCTCAGCTGAGCTGGATTAACGGGGCGAGGGGGAAGGGGCCTGCACAGGGGACTGGGGCTGCAGCGTCCCGGGGCTCCCCGCACTCCCGGCACGGCGGGCATGGCTCTTGGGTGCGCTCCGGGCTGCCACGTGTAGAGCTGGCACTGCCACCACCCCCGGCCCCGGGGCCCATGGGGGCAGCTGGGGAGGAGCGGGCGGTGGGGCTGGGGGGCACAGAGCACCGGGCACGATTCTAGCCAGGCTGCGCCGGGAACCGCTTGATGCCATGAAGGACTTCACCGAAATCACGCTTTGCCCCGAGGCTCTGGACGGCAGCAAGGTAGGGCAGGGGGTGTGGGGACTGCTGACCCACGGGTCCCCAGGGTGCCACCCGCGCACGCTGTCCTACAGACCGAGTTCTGCAACCCCGTGTTTGAGGGCGAGGAGCCACGGGCGGAACCGAGTGTGGAGCACCCGCCAGACAAGGATGGGACCGGCCCCGCACCACGCCGGGACGGCCTCGGTACCAACCTGGGGGTTTGTACACACACCAGGAGCGGGGTGGTGGGCTCTGGGGCTGCTTGGGGACACATTAGCACCACGGGGACAAGCGGTGGGCACGTGCCCAGCGAGGGCTGAGCCAGCCGTGCAGGGAGGTGCGGGTACGGCTCAGCAGCACCCCGGCTCTGCCCGCTGTCCTCGCATCCAGGCCAGCAGCTCTGGGCACAGGTGGGCTGGAGGTACCGCGCCGACTGCAAGTTCACTTGGCTCTGCGTGGCTCTGATGAGCACCATCCTGCTCTTCCTCATCGCCCTCCTGCTCGGCATCGTCATCCACCGTGAGTGCCGAGCCGGGGGCTGCTGTGGCCGGGTGGGGGACACAGAACCGGCTCAGAGTGGGAGAGGGGCAGCAGAGGACATCACGGGGTCTGCCCGCTGTGGAGAGAGGGTGACACAGGGGAGCAAGGGGGATTTCCATGTCCGTGGGATGTGGCAGTATCACGGTCCCTGGGAGAGCCGTGTGGGATCCCCTAGGAGCTGCACACCTGTGGGTAGGGTGGGAGCACAGGGCTGGCTGGGTGGGCTTCCTGAGCCCCTTCCCTGCTCCGCAGCCATCCCTCCCCGCTGGGGCTGAGCAATCCCTGCTCTTCCCTGGGCACAGAGCTGACATCCCCACATCCCCCCGGCGCTCCGGCCACTGCCCTACCTGCCCGTGGCACTGTCACCACCACCACAACACCCATCCGAAGGGACCCCCCGGTCCCCAAAACAGCCGCCACCCCAACCGAGAGCTGGCTGCCCACGGCCCGCACAGCAGCACCGGGTAAGTCCCGAGTGGGGCAGTGTTTTGGGATGGGGGTGCCCCTCTCCAGCTCATGCCCACGCTGTTGCCTCGTTCAGCCTGCGGAGGGACCCTGCGGGGCCCCGAAGGCTCCTTCAGCTCCCCCAACTACCCCGGTCCCTACCCCCCAAACGCCCTCTGCATCTGGCGCATCGAGGTGGGCGCCGGCCTCGCCATCCAGCTGAGGATGGAGACCTTCAGCGTGGAGGGCACGGCCTCCTGCCTCTTCGACCGCCTGGAGCTCTACGAAGAGCTTGGCACCGGCGGCACAGCCCCCGCCCCAGCTCGGGGGAGCCCGACCAGGTAGGGCTCCTCACACCTGGGGAGCGTGGCGGTGCAGCGGGGCGGGGGCAGCGAGCGGTGCCAGCCCTCGCTGTGCCCCCAGGTTTTGTGGCAACGTGCCCCCCCCGACCTTCAACACCGACTCCAATCGCCTGCGGGTCACCTTCGTGTCCGACAGCAGCGTGGGCGCCCAGGGCTTCAGCGCCCGCTACCGCGCCGTGGCCCCCGCCGAGAGTGAGTCCCCGGCGCAGGGCACTGCCAGGGCCCCTCGCTATGGGGAGAGCCCGCGGGGAGGGCGGGGTGCCCGGCGGAACCCCCCACCAGCCTGGCTCTCTGTGGCTGCGTGCAGAGAGCTGCGCCTGGGACGAGCACCTGTGTGACCAGGGGCTCTGCCTCCAGCTGGGCTTCGTGTGCGACGGCTTCCACGACTGCACGGACAGGAGCGATGAGGCCAACTGCAGCCTGAAACACAAAGGTGGGCGGGAGAGAGCCCCACCTGCAGCGGGAGAGATCGCCACGGGCACCCCGGGATGGGCGGGGAGAGGGGACAGGGAGGGCAGGGAGAGGGGCAGGGTAAATCTGCCTGTGTTCGTGTGTCCCTCCAGAATGCGGGGGGCCGCTGACCGCCTTGGAGGGGCACTTGTCCACCCCGAACCACCCCCAGCCATACCCACACCAGCAGGTGAGAGAAGGGGTCCCGTGGGAGCGCGGTGAGGATGAGGGCGGGCGGGGAGGAAGGCAACCCCTGTCCCGGGGAGAGCTGGGGGTGCCCCTGCCCAGCTTCACGGGTGTCGCCGGCTGCCCCCCGCCCCGCAGCTGTGCCTCTGGCAGATCTCCGTGCCCCTGGGCCACGTCATCGACCTGCACTTCCACAACTTCAGCCTGGAGTCACACGAGGACTGCAGCTTCGACTTCGTGGAGGTGCACGACAGCGCGGGCACGGGGACCGCCAGCCTCATGGGCAGGTACCCGACACCCTGCTGCGCCACCCTGGTGCCACAGGGGCCGTGGCTCACCTGGGGAAACTGAGGCACGGGGCTGGCTGATGGGGAGGAGCCACCAGAAGGCAGGGTTTGGGGAGGTGCTGCTCAGCACCCTGACCCCATCCCTCGACCCATGACCTCGGCAGGTTCTGTGGCCACCAGCTGCCACCCACCCTGACCTCCTCACGGCATGTCATGACCATCCTCTTCGTGGCAGACGAGGGAGTTGCAGATGATGGGTTCTTTGCCACCTACCAAGCCCGCAATGCCACAGAGAGTAGGTAGCCAAGCGGAGGAACAGGCTGCCCAGGGTGGGTTGTGCCACCTCCATCCTTGGGGGGCTTCAAGGTCAGGCTGGATAAAAACTTGGGAAAAACAACTTTTGTTCCACAACTGACCCTGCTTGGAGCAAGAGACCCCCAGGACCCCTTCTCACCTGATTTACCCTATAAATTTATAGCCATGGGGATGTGACCTGGAAGGGCTCACCGGCACAGAGGCATGATCCATGATCTGAGGGCTGCCCCCAAATAACACAAAATAAGGGAATTTGGGATGTCCCAAAGCTGGATCTGCCAGATCCCCTGGCTAGTGACCCAGAAGAGTAGCCAGGGGTGGTCAGCATGGCAACATGATGACTCCTAGCCATGCCCTGCCCTCTCCCCTTCCAGAGACCTGCAGCCCCGCGGAGTTTTCCTGTGGGAATGGCGAGTGCCGGGCGCTGGAGTCTGTGTGTGACGGCTGGCACGACTGCCCTGACGGCACCGACGAGCTGAACTGCACCGGGGTGTCCTACCCTGCCTTTGGTGAGTGCCACCCCGGGTGTCCCCCTGGGCACAGGCTGGCACAGCCGGTGGGCAGCGCTGCCGCTGGCACAAGTGAATCCCCTCTCCCTGTGGCAGGGTCTGTCTGCGAGCCCGTGGAAGTGGAGATGTGCCTGGGGCTGGGCTACAACGCCACCTCCTTCCCCAACATCTGGCTGGCCATCCCGGACCAGGAGGGAGCTGCAGAGGTGCTGCAGGACTACCAGGTGAGCTGCCTGGGGCTGCCCGTGGGGCTGCCCTCAGCACACCCCGCTGGCTCACGCCGCTGTCCCCGCTGTCCCGCAGACGCTGATGGAGCTGGCGTGTTACCAGCACCTCCGCCTGCTCATCTGCAGCCTCTTCGTGCCCAAATGCACCCCGGACGGGGGGGTGCTGCAGCCCTGCCGGGCTGTGTGCCTGGCGGCGGAGCTGCGCTGCCAGCAGTCCCTCGGCCTCCTCGGCATCCTCTGGCCCATCAACTGCAACATCCTGCCCGATTCCAATGACCCCGTAGAGTGCTTCCAGCCCTGAGCCAGCCAGAGGAGAGGAGCAGGAGCTGAAGCCACCCTCCCCACCCCAAATGTCCCTCCCGTGCTCTCCCTGTTGTAACTACCCTGCTGTTGGGGTGCCCCTTGCCTGCCCTGGGGTCAGCCCCTGTGCCCAGGCTTGGTGCCTGGATACCATGGGCTTGCCCACAGCTCCATTTCCCTAGAGAGCAGGTGACATATCCCACAGGGAAAGGTTTGTGGTGGAAGGGCTGCGCTGGGGCACGAGGGAAAGGGCTGATGCTCCCCAAACGGAGCCAGGCTGGGCAGAGGTGAGCCAGGCTGCAGGCATGAGAGCCCAGGGCTGCCCTGTTCCACAGCCCCAAAGCCAGCAGAATAAACAGTGTGAGCAGCTGACAAACCAAATGGAGCAGGTGACTCATCTGGGGTCTGTGTGGGGGTGCTGCTAGGGGAAACTGAGGAATGGGTGGAGGGAGGGAAGCCAGGGATGGGGTGGAGGATCTGAGCAGGGATGGACAGTGGCACAGGAGGAATCCTGCTCCGTTTGAATTTTCACAGGCAGAAGCCCACTCCTGGCCATGGGCCCTTGGACACTAACAGTGGTCATTTTCCATAGGAAACAAAATTCACCCCCCCAGGTTCCTGATGTCACTTTGTCAGAGGCATTTGGCACTCCAAGGGCAGCCCGAGTTCTAGGTGGGGACAGCTTGAGTCCAGGGGAAGATTGCAGGGGATAATGGGGAGCTGGCTGTGCCCTCACTGGGCTGAGGGCTTGCAGGGTCCCAGGGAGATGGATGGGTCTCAGAGGGGGTCCAGTTGGTGGCCCCATGGTGCAGGGAAGGGATCCTGCCCCACCAAGAGCAGTGGCCCTGCTGGCTGAGCTGCCTGTGCTGGCTGAAGGCCACACTGGTAGCCACAGGCCTGGCAACACCCATGGCCACAAACCAGGGTCCAGCTGGCCAAAAACAACAGTCCCTTCACACCTTGGGAGAGAGGAGACAGGCGGCTTCCTGCCACCACCCAGCCTGGCTGTGGGTATCCAGGTCTGGAAGGAACATTTGGCAATGTCACCGGCTCCACTGCAGGCTCTGGCACGGGGAGGAGAGAGCCAGCAGTGCCATCATGTTTCCCACTGCCCTGAGCGTGTAGAGAAATCCCCAGTCTGGCTGGGGTCACTGGGATCAGGACCCACTCGTGCCAGCACCGCTCTGTCCCTGTACCCAGCGTGGCACTGCCGCTCCCACCCGGCTCAGGGGCTTTGAGCCCACCCAGCTCCTTCTCTCCCTGCTCGTCCCAGCTGCTGCCGGGCACGGGGACACCCCCCAGCCACAGGCCCGCCCGCTGGCCAGCGTGTGACCGTGTCCCTTGGACGCACTCGGCTCTGGAACAAGTTGAAGGCAAGCTGGGAGCGCCTCGAAAGCTTCGCCGCGTGCTCCGCGGTCCCTGGGGCCAGCGCTGCCTCCTGGCACGGGCACAGCGCTGCTCTGCCTGCGCTTCCACCTGCCCTGCACGCTCAGCCCAACGTGCTGGGACCGCCCAGATGGATCCTGCGGCTTCCCCTGGATGCTCCCAGGGCTGGCACTGCCAGGCAGTGTGTGTTCTGCCATCCCCTTTGCCTCAGCTCTGCTGCCAGTGAGAGCTCCCACTTCTTCCTGCCTCTCTATCTCTTTCTGTCTTGCTGGATTTCTCCCCCTCCGCCTCTATCTTGTTTCCTTTCCTTCTGCTGCCTGTTTTCCCTGCCTTTCTCCCCTCCATCCTGCTGCCTGGGTGCCCAGCTGTGCCCAGCTGAGGTGGTTCACAGCCTGCACCTCTTCTCGGCTGTTTGCAGCGCTCTCCCTTCCCCCTGCTTACAGCACTTCCGACATCATGAGATTATTTTTCTTTTTCCCCTTGTCTTGTAGCTTTTGGCTCCCAAGGCCCTTGATTTCCTTTGGAGTTTGGGAGGAGAGACGTGGGGAGGAGGGGGGGTGGAGAGGCTGCCTCTCTTAGGGCCTTCGTCAGAGCCAAGGGGCCAGGAAGAGCCTCAGCCCTTGCAGAGCGGCGAGCAGCGAACTCCCGGGACGGGAACGGTGGGATCGCAGTGAGTGGGGATACCCAGCCGGGGGCAGCTGGGACTCCCTGGCTTCCTGCCTCCGGCGCCTGGGCGGAGGAGAGACACTTTTCTCCTCCTTTTCCTCTTTGTTGCCGTCGTGGAGGGGGAAGAGAGCAGCTTTGCTGGGTCAAGGCCAGGGGGAGGGGGCCAGCGCTGGCCCTGGGGCTCAGCCCCCGCTGCGCTGCTGTGGGAAGGGCCGGGGGCAGCCTGGGCGGGGCGGTGGTCCCGGCAGAGGGATGGTCCGGCACGGCCGGGGATGCTGCAGCCGCGGGCAGCCGTGCCCAGGGGAGCCGGCCGGGGCGGAGCGGAGCCAGGATGCTGCCAAGGGCAGGGCCAGCGCGCAGCCCCGCGTTCTCCGAGCTGCCGCCCAACCACGCACCCCCCAGAGGCAACAACCCCACCCCAGGCACGCACACAGCTCACCAGCTGACAGCCCTAAATCCCCCTGCCCGTTCCCCCATAACTGGGCACGATGGGGCAGTGCCCACCCCAAAGAAGACCGAGCCCCTGGCCCTGTATCCACACCCATCCTGAGCTGTCCCGGGGTTGGTGTGATGGCGCACAGACCATGGGGATGCTGTGGCAGGTGCAGGCAGCACCAGGGAGCTGAGGGGAGCAGCCCAAAAGGTAAAGGGAAAAGGAGTGGGGGAAATGTCCCCTGCTGACCCCCCACGCTCCCTGCTGAGCACCCCCGACCCTCTTCACTGTGATCCCCAGAGCTGTGATCCTTCTCTTCCTCCTTCCAGCCTCTCTAGGACAAGATGAAGCAGCTTTTCCTTCTCTTCCTCCTCGGGCTCATCACCAGGTCCTTGCAGATCGAAGACAACAAGATCCCTGGGCTGTGCTCGGGGCAGCCGGGCATCCCGGGGACCCCGGGCCTGCACGGGGGCCAGGGTTTGCCAGGCAGAGATGGACGAGATGGCCGGGATGGAGCCAGGGGGATGCCAGGGGAGAAGGGCGAGATGGGCCCTCCTGGTAAGAAAGGAGAGATCCCAGCTGGGGAGGGGGATTTGCCACTCGCTGCATGTGGGGAACACCCTCACGGCAGGGGGCGAGTCCTGCATGCTGGCACAAGATGCCAAACGGAGAATGAATCCTGCAGAAGCGCCCCTCCCATGCCACCCCTGCCTGTGTCCCTGCAAAAGGCAGCAACTCCCTGTCACTGGTAAAGCTGCGTTTGTCCCCATCCCCGATGCCACACCTCTCTCTTCCAGCCCTGCTTTAGGAGGGACCACCAGGAATTGCATCATCCCTGCCCTGGCTCCTGGGCTGGGCTTTCTCCCAGCCTGTAAGGGTTTCTCCAGCGATTTCTTGATGCTGTGCTAAATTACACACCCAGCCCTCCCCACTAGTGCTGCTTCCCCACGCGGTGCCCTGGCTGTGGCAGGGAATCCCCGGTGGAACCGGGCAGGAGGAGCAGTGTTGGTGACTCAGAGGTGACCCTGTCCCCTCCTGCCTGCCCCAGGAGTGCCCGGTCCCCGCGGCGAGGTGGGCAGCCCCGGCGTGGACGGGCTGCACGGTGAGAAGGGAGCTCAGGGCGAGTGCGCCGTGGCTCCTCGCTCAGCCTTCAGCGCCAAGCGCTCCGAGTCCCGCAGCCCTCCCCTGGCCGACCAGCCCATCCTCTTCGACGTGGTGCTCATCAACGAGCAGGGCCACTACGACCCTGCCACGGGCAAGTTCACCTGCGAGGTGCCCGGCCTGTACTACTTCGCCGTGCACGCCACCGTGTACCGCACCAGCCTGCAGTTCGACATCATGAAGAACGGCCACTCCATCGCCTCCTTCTTCCAGTACTACGGCAACTGGCCCAAGCCCACCTCGCTCTCGGGGGGCTCCCTGGTCCGCCTGGAGCCCGAGGATGAGGTGTGGGTGCAGGTGGGCGTGGGGGACTACATCGGCTTCTACGCCAGCGTCAAGACGGACAGCACCTTCACCGGCTTCCTCGTCTACTCCTACTGGCAAAACTCCGCCGTGTTCGCCTGAGCCCGCCCTGAGCTGTGGCTGGGGCCGGGCAGGTGCCCCATCCCAGCCAGCAGCGTGGTGGGAGCCGGGACAGCGGGACCCCTGCCCGGCCCAGGGCAGAGAAACGTGCCCGGTGCCGTGGCGGGGCAGGGCAAACCGGGCCGGGGGGCAGCAGCCCGTGCCGCGGGTCCTGTCCCATCCCTCCTCTCAATAAAGGGCTGCTCAGCTACGCGTGTGCCGCCTGCCTCCGCGCCCCTGCCCGAGCCGTGCGAGCCCGGGGCTGCGGGACCCCCGACGGCGGAGCCCTGCCTGGGGGTTCCGGGCCGGGCCCGCCGTGTCGGGATGTCCCCGCAGGGCCGGCGAGAGCCACTAGATGGTGGCATCGGCGTCCTTGAGCCATGAGCGCAGCGCTGCGCCAGCCCCCGGCACCTCCCCGAGGCTCGGGAGCACCCCCGGGGTCCCTCCGAGGACCGAGTGTCGCCGGATGGGAGGGTCCCGATGTTGCCAGGGCCACCCCGGAGGGAGCGGATTGCCCGGGGCGAGCAGAGCCAGGGGTGCGGGGGGTGGCCCGTCAGTCCCCGAACGGGGCTTGCGGAGCCCCCCGCGCCCGCCCCCGCCCCAGTGTGAAAGCGGTGGCCCGCCGCTGGGAAAGGTCGCTATTTTTAGCAGGGGAATGAAGAGCTTCCTCATTCCTTGCCCAAAATAGGTCCCTGAGGGGACCAGCAGGGGAGGGGGCTCTTGGCCAGCGGCCGAATCCCTTAATGAGCTTGGGACGCTGCCCTGCCCGGCTGTAGGGTGCCAGCGGGACCTTGCAGCGCTCCCCAGCCCAGGAACCCCGTACACAGCCGGACAGCCACCCCTGCCCTGCCCCGGACCCCCCTCTGCCCCCCGTGTGTGCCGGATGGACCCCCAGGAATACAGCTGTGCCCGTGGGAATGAGCAAAGCCCGTGTCCCTGCCCAGCAGCCGTGGGGACACCCGTGTGCCCCTGTACAGTGCCACCCCCAAGGGGAGCCCCCACTCGGGGCCTGAGGACCATGGGCACATCGCTGCAACCTGCACCGGCCATCCGCAGCCCGTGGGGACCTGTGGAGGTGCTGGGAGCAGGGGTGACACCTCGTGCCCCTTTGGGGACCAGGGGGTTCTGCTGGAGCCGCTCCGCAGCTCCCTCAGCCAGCGCCGGGATCGGGTTGCAGCAGGAGCCTCTGTTTGGGTTGGAGATGGCTTCTTCTGTAAGCAGAGCTGCTCAGGGGGCAAACAACGCCGCAGAGCAGATCGATGGCTATTCTGGGAGGAGGAAAGGGAATTTTCTGGACGACGTGTGTGGGGGCTGGGAGCATTCCCTGGTCCCTGTCACGATTTGGGGAAGCACGGTCAACACAGGCAGCCACAGTGCGTGGCACAGCAGTTTCTGGGCTCTGCTTCCTTTGGGATGCTCTTGGTTGTGTGGACCCCCTGTGGGAACGTGAGGGCGTCTGCTGCTGCCTGGGGAGGATGAGGAAGAGGGCAAGGAAAGGAAAAGGGAAAGAGAGACAAGTTCCTAGTAAGCTCCAGCTGCTTTTCATGAGCTCTGCCAGCTTCCCCCTGAGTTAGGAGAGCTTGGAGACCCTGTTCCAGCTGAGCCCAGGTTAGGGAGGGTTAGCATCCCTCAGCCAGAAGCCATATAAGAGCCAGGCTGAGCCCACAGGTGCTGCAGTACAGCTGACAGAGGCAGCAGTCGGGTTGCTTTGTTGTTTCTTTTGAGTTTTTTGTGGTTGCTTTGTGGGTTTTTAGAAACAAAAATAAACGTCAGCACCGCTTTTCAGAGAGCAGCACTCGTGTCCTTGGCACTCCAAGGTCACCTGAGGAGGTCGGCAGGCACCAAAGATTAAAGAGATCAACTGGGTCGTCTCTGAGACCCTACAGCTGCACAGTGCTTATGGTGTCCGAGCGTGGAAATGCCCCCGGTGGTGAAGGGTGGCCTGGTGACTCCTGGCAGCAGCAGGATGGCTCCTGCTCCACCCAAAAGTTTGGTTATGGCCCAGGGTCAGAGGCCTCATCGCTGACGAGGTGCAGGGAACACTCCCAGCCATCTTCAGGACTGGTAAGGAGACCTTTAATCTGGGAATGGCAGGGGAGGGGACAGTCCTTGCTCACGTGAGGGTGGGGTGGGCAAGAAAGGGACCACAAGCCTGGATTTTAGGAAATCAGACACTGGCTCCTTCAGGGATATCCTGGGGAGGATCCCATGTCCTGGAGAGGTGTCCAAGAGGACGAAGGATCATTTCCTCCCGACGAGCAGGGATGAGAGGTGTCAGCATCTCTGTGCTGACCAAAGCCTGGCATGGGCTGCTCCGAGGGGCAGCAGAGTCTCCCCTCATGGAGATATTGGCAACCCCACTGTCCCCAGAACCCTGCAAGCTGCTCTAGGCTGGGTGACCTCCATGTCCCTGCCATCCTCAGCCCCTCCCTGTCCCTGAGGCTGCGAGGCAGTGGGATCGCTGCTGTGTCCGTGGGGTCAGTGAGGCTCCCTGTGCTGGCTCACTAATGAGAGCCAAGCTGGTGCCGGCAGCAGCCCAAAGGCCCCCCGTGGTTCAGCTGCTGATCCTCACCTGCTCCCTCCCTCCGGCCGGGTATCGTTCCTCGCTCCTGCTGTGCCACATCTGCGCTCCCGGCTGGCAGGCAGACCGTGTCTCTTGTCCCCAGGCTGTGACGAGCAGCTCATTAGGGAGGGGAATTGCAGCTGGGCTGACAAAGGGATTTTTCCCAGCGCCTGGGGGCTCCTGCTTTCGTCCGGCTGCCAGAGCCGACCACCCCAGCTCTCCTAAATTGGGGTCACCCGGCAGCATCACGCTCCTCCCTCCTCGGGGAAGGGTCTTGGCACTTTGATGAGCCGAGCAGCCCGCTTGGCTCATGTGGGAGCCTCCCAAACACGTTCTGGAGCAGGGAATACCCCGAGGATTCCGAATCTTCTGCCCTGGAGTGCTCTGTGAGCGTTGCCGCTTCCCAGGCTGTGCAGCCCTGCACCAAAAACCAAAGTGCCAGGGCAGGCAGGGCTCACGGAGCTTGTCCATTAGCAGGGAGGTGGTTGCATTTTCCTCCTGCAATTGCTGGCTGCTTGAGCAGAGATTGAGCTAAGTGTGTGCAGGATGGCTCCCGGGGGAGGGCTGTGTCCTGCACATCCTGTCCTCTCTGGGAAAGCTCGGCTGCACTGGCCTGAGGTGGCCGAACACCCTCCCCCATCCCCTGCTGGGGGTGCTGGGCTGGGAGCATCCTGCCTGTGCAGGGCATGGCAGACATTCCCCTGCCCATCCCACCCTCCTGCCCTCTCTGCAGCCTCCCCAAGTGCCCAGCCAGCCTCGGGTCACACTCTGGGAGCAAGAGAAGTGCCTCAGTTTTCCCAGTTATCACCCACCTGCCAGCACTGCCCTCCTCCCTGCGCCTGAGCAGGTATCTGTCTCTTTCTGGCCTCCCAGCAGCTCCCATCTCCCCTCTCTTGGTTTTTCATCCTGATTAAAATGAGCCACTTGGCTGGCATGGCCCTGTCAGGAGCCAGAACTCCTGGAGTCTCTGTCCATCACAGTCCTGAGCCATTTTTCCAAATAATTTATGAGGATGCCCTGAGCCTGCCACAGCCTTTCTGCAAGGCAAGACCCAGCCCTGTGCTGCCTCCATCCCAGGGACAGTGTGGCACAGGACATTGAGGCATCAGATATGTGCAGGACCAGCAATGAACACGTCCCAGCATGTTCCTGCCAGCCTGGAACACGCTGGGAAACCCCAGCCCCTCCTCCCTGTGCCCTGGTGTGGTATATCCACAGCCATGTCCTCTTGCCGTGGGTTGGCAAAGCAGGAGTTTGGGGGCTGCCAGCTCTGAAAAGCCCACCCAGAGTGAGTTTGGGTGTAAATTCATCTCCTGGGTGCTGGATTTCCCCTGTGCAGCAGCCTGGCTCCAGGGCATCCCACAGCACTGCTTTTCTGGGGGAAAACATCCCTGAGCCTGCAGGTGATGTTGACCCTTTGTGGGGAGTGATGGGTTTTCCCTGGTGTCCAGGGGTGGACAAAGGAGACACAAACACACGTTCCCCCCCAAGAAAACCTTCTCAAGAATGAGGCAGCACCCAGCTTTTGGTAAAGATTTTAATCTGCTCAGTATCTAGTCCATAGTGCAAAGAGTTAAACTTAAGGCAAAGCCTTCTTTTACAAACAGCAAACAGGCCCTAAACAAACAAGCGCGACTACTATAATAATAATAATAATAAAAATAAAAAAAAGGGGTTAAGGGAACAAACTGCAGTTTTAGGGAGGTGTCCTTTCCCCCCCCACCCTGTAACTCATGTAGGGAATGTTGCATCCCCTGATCCATGAGCTGGTCCCAAGGGAATGCTGCTGCCTGTGGTCAGCAGGGCCACAATCCCACACCTGAGTGACTCCAGCTGCAGCTCCCTGACTCTTCTGCAAGTGCCTGGGACAAGCCAGAGCCTGGACTTAGTTCTCTGGTGAGGGTTTGGCTGCTCCCAAGTGTTGGTGGCTGGAGAGAGCCAACATCAACAAGGGAGGTGTGTGGGGAGGCACAGGGACAAAAGTTTGAGCAATGGGGAGCTTTGCATCTCTTTGAAGCAGCTGAGAGCCCTTCTAACACCCTTAAGTGCTCAGGAGCCTGGCTTGGCCCAGGGAATCCTTCCAGCTCCCAAGAAATGTGGGAGCAACCAGCCCTGGCAGTGCTTTTCCAAGCAAAGCCACTCAACAGTAAGACAGTTCCTTGCTAGAGCTCAGCTTTACAGCTCAAAGGCATCTCCCAGCACAGCCTGGCCTCTCTACTGCCTCTGTTTTGGCTTAAATTGCTAATCAAGAAGGAAAATAGAAGGAAAACCATGCCAGCTGTCCTCAGGCTCTTGGCTTGCAGTCCAGAGTCAAGACTCTCTCCGCTCTGCTCCAGCCAAAATTGTGTGTGGTGTGTGGCTGACCCCAGGCAAGCAGCTGGAAAAGGAAAAGCTTTTTAGTGCAAGGCCCTCTCGCAGCCCAGCAACTTCTCGGAATGGTGCTGGTTGCCCAAGCTGGGATGAGCCATCCCAGGGTGGGATCCCTTCGTTGGACTTCAGGGGACACTT